ATATTAGCCAGAGGGTTGATCGACCCGATTATCTTGGCGCGTTGATTCATTCTTTTTTCGCCATTTTAATAAGCAGATATTAAATTACACATGATTATTCAGAGATCGTGAGACGCGGTCTGGTGTGATGTAGGTTTCAGAAAAACATTTTCTTTATCATACCAACGTTTCGATCTTTATTGATATCATCTTCAGGGCCTGGGATTTACAAACGCAGAAAACAAACACTTTGGGTGAGTAGAAATACTTTGATTGAATATAAAAAATATACTTTTTGCATTGTATAAATTCACTTCTTTTCACATCCTACATGTATTTGTTAAATTTAAACAATGTTTGTAAATCCCAGGCCCTGAAGATGATCTCAATAAAGATCGAAACGTTGGCACGATAAAGAAAATGTTTTTCTGAAACCTACATCACACCAGACCGCATCTCACGATTTCTGAATAATCATCGACTAACGGTCAATAATCACCACACACTCAAGTTACACCATTTAATACTGCTTATACTTCTTCGTCTTATTCAACTTACAAATTATATATACATATAATATATACAGAAAGAAAGGGCACTTTTACCTTTCACTTCAACCGTAACCGCGGCCCCAAATTATCTAGTATTGTAAATTCTTAACTGAGAAAACGTATTTATCATTACTCTCCAGTCTATGATATTAGAATTTATTTCTTAAATTTAATTCTAATATATATCAATATTTTGTCTTCTAAGACATTATTATTTATTTTTTTATTTTATTTTTTTTACGAGGGTTCGCAACAGCAGAGGTCATATAAACCCTCAGGGTGCAGGTGTTTTAAAAAAAATCTCATTTGTAAGTATGTCGGGTTCGAATGCAGGGCCGCTGGATTCGAACCGGGGACCTTCTCCTTACAGTGATGAGCGCCGTGTCAACGCCTAAACCGTTGCGGCCACCAACGCCCCGGTTTTCTGAGACAATACAAATCCAAAAACTTTATTCTACAATAAATAAAAGAAATATTTAGATTGTACAACGATAAAAGAATCAGGTCTCACTCGTTCAGAATAGTAATGCTATAACCTTCTGGCTATTTTCAATTCCGTATTTGAAAATTTAAACTTGGAGGAAAATTGTAAAACCCATAGTCGAAGGATTCTGGCAGGTTGCGTGGATTTTGACCAAACTTTCTTTGTGATTCTACACTCCAAAATATCGGACTCGCCACTCCTTGTGAACAGAGCCTGGGTTAGATAGAAAAATTAAAAGTTGAAATGTTTACTATTTTAATATATTTATTTCGCCTTTCTATTTGCTGAAATCAACTATGTGAATTTTACATCATTTTGTATATAGACTGCAAAAAATTGAGTAAAATCTATTAAAGTTAACCAATGACCAAAAATTGTTTCAATAAATAGATACATAAAAAAGAAAAATTATTTTTCCGAAATTAACCTCATTTCTTAATGGAAATAATAGTCCGATTTTAATATTTGATACCGTTATAAAATCCACTTGACTATTTATTTAATACGAATTATGAACCATGAAAATCGGTCCACTAGCTTTTGAGAAAAATGATGGTTAGAGCTTGCACCAGGATTGTCAGTCGAGCAGAAAGGTCGTCAAAAAATTGATTTAAATCGATTTCCGCGAAAGTCGATATGTAATGGTTTTATAACGATAGAATCACGAACGACAATGAGGTCGTTTTAACCATTTTCTGACCTACTTTGCTTACTGAATGTTTGTTAAAATATGGGAAAAAAGCAGGATTTTCTTCATTTATCTTTTTAAATCATACCAAATTAGAATATTCTGTATCGTAGAACATTTTTGCTTTTATGTTAACCAACATTGAAATCAAAACTTTTACGTCATTTAATTACGACAAAAATTAGATTTTAGAAAAGCATTATTATCGCGATTAAGTGATAAGAAATTGTAATGTGCAATGTATAACTGTATCAAACATCAAAATCGGACTATTATTTCCATTAAAAAATAGAAATATTTTATATATTTTAATGGTTTCTACGTCGTAAAAAGCTACATTCCTCCTTCTTTTGTTTCACGTTAAAATCCTGTTAGCCGTTTTTGTATTATAGCAGTATTAATCAGGCATTCCAATAACTTCTCAAAAATCGAACAAATTCAATCAGGTCAAAAAATGGATAAATTTAAATTAAAACAAAAATTTATATTTACGGGTCTCTAGAGATCCTACAACGAAATTTCATATTAGTTTCACGAGAAAAACCTTGTTTACTTGAAAAACAGTAATTTTTTGGTTTATTGATAAACTTAGACAGGGTAAGGAGTAGGGTCATGTGGTTTGATTCCTGGCTTCCTTTGATTCCTTCCTTGGCTAGCAATTACGAGTTTGATCTTTGCACATACAATATGCCTCAGTGGAAGACTCAGCTTTCTTTAATTTTACAGAAGATTGGAATAGTTCATCGGGAGGAGTTTGTGAGGATGGCAGACTGAGCACTTTCTTCTGTATGGAACCCTTTTGGAGTCAGATATGGAGCTCATTGTTTTTGGCTGCAGTGACTCTTGATTGAATCTTTGCCAAATGAAGTGGTTATTGCTGCCCCCTCGGCTCGGTAAAACTTTAATTGCTTTTGAAAAAAGGCCTGGGAACACAGGCACAACTTAATAAAATAGTGTAATTAATAATTTTGTTGCTCGTTGTTAAATTACAGTTTGTTTTAAATATTATTTCCTACACTAAGATTAACTTTGTATTACTGGGCGAAAAAAATACGATTTTTAGTTTATTATTATTCAGAAATCGTGAAATGCGGTCTGGTGTGATGTACGTTTTAGAAAAAATTTTCTTTATCGTGCCAACGTTTCGATCTTTATTGAGATCATCTTCAGGGCCTGGGATTTACAAACAATGTTTAAATTTAACAAATACATGTAGGATGTGGAAAGAAGTGAATTTATACAATGCAAAATATATTTTTTGCATTGTATAAATTCACTTCTTTCCACATCCTACATGTAGTGCACTCTCAACACGACACGCGAGTATGGCTCAATTACACAGAAGACAAACACTTTGAGCCCTGAAGATGATCTCAATAAAGATCGAAACGTTGGCACGATAAAGAAAATGTTTTTTCTGAAACCTACATCACACCACATCTCACGATTTCTGAATAATTATCGATTAACGGTCACTTATCACCACACATTAGATTATTATTTTGAGTTGTGTATTGTTTATGTTAATTTAAATAATTTTTAATATTATCGCTGTAAAATAAATTATGATATAATCAAAAGAATTCCAAACTACGGCAGACGGCTTTTTGCCATACTTAAAATCTATTGTAAATAGATTGTAAATTGTTACTTATGTTTAATAGTGAATGTATTCTCCTTCTTCTTTGACAGCTTTTACTATATTTTTATTGCAACCTACATAAAAAATGCTGTAAAATGATATATTCAGATAGTTAATTTGAGCAAGTAGAACAAAAATATTAAAAAACGGAAAATTTCCATCCAAAATGTTTTGGCGAAACCAGGGCCTGTTCACAAGAAGTGCCGGATACATGTCCGATATTTTCGAGTATAGAATCACCAAAAGTGTGGTACAAATCCGTGCCCTGCCAACCTTGTCGTCCTCTTGTTGGTCAAAAAATCTCAAGTTTTTGGTTGGTTGATTATGCTCTTCCAATTGTTTCCAGATCTGTCTATACCTTCTGTAGTTTTCGATGCTGTCAGCGATTGTATTCAGCATGCAGCATTTTTCAAATTAGAATTAAAAGACAAAAAGATCCCGTATTGCTAATTCATAACAGTTCCATTTTACAGGATAGTTTTCACCATTTTTTAAGCTTTCAAAAAGTTATTTTAAAAAACATGCTTCATGTTTGCTTTACAATAATTTTTTGGACAAATTTTCTTCGATTGATACTCCGTTTTGAGATGTAAATTTCAGAAGAATATGAATTTCTTTATTATTGGCTCATTTTTTTCACCTGAAGGAAGTCCTAGCACCGAAAATTATGAATTTAAAATATAGCGAGATGAGAGAAATTTGTTTTGTCTGAAGAACCCTACTATCTCCACTTAATACAAATACAAAATAAATACCGACATGATCGTGCTGACAGTAGACAGCAGTGTAAGAAAGTAAAATTAAACAATTAAAATCTTGATAGCTGTTTAAAAGAGAACAATTCACACATTTCGTTTTAATGATCCGGGTCAGGACACGAAAATGGAATATAATTATATACAGTGAGTCCTTAAGGAGTGAATTGCTCCTTTGAACAATGGGTTCTCTAGCCCACGTGGTGCACATGAGATTTTGTAATGGTTCGCTCAAGAGGACAAGCAAGCACGTTGCCTCTTGAAAATGTAAATCTGGCCACATACTCGAACCATCTACGAACAATGTTTTGCCGGATTTATTAAAACCATTAGAAAAATAGGAAATTTACTTCACTTTTAACATTTTGCCAACACAGAGTGCACTCTCAACATGACACGCAAGAATGGCACAATTACACAGAAGACAAACACTTTGAGCCCTGAAGATGATCTCAATAAAGATCGAAACGTTGGCACGATAAAGAAAATGCTTTTCTGAAACCTACATCACACCAGACTGCACCTCACGATTTCTGAATAATTATCAAAAAAAAGTTACAATTCTTATTAGCTTAAATAAAAAAAGGAATAGTGAAAGCTCAAGCTGTTTTACTGGCAAAATAAATCCCAAATATTAAACAACGCCCATTAAGAAAAAATCAACTTTATGAGATCTTTTACTTTGCCTGAACTACAAAAGTTCAAATATTTGAACTGTTTTAAAAAAAAACAAAATAAAATATTTAGTAAGAACCATCCAAATAAACTAACTTTAAGTAACTAAAAACGTAAAAAACCGTCTTTCTGGTGGGGGGTTATGATTGAGGTTGTCCTTCACCTGTATGCTTGTGTTTGACAAATAATGAACAAAAAGAAAATATTTATGTATATACGTACTTACATAGATAAGGTTAGGAATAAAAGAGACGTTTCTATCTTTGCAGATGTCAGACACGTTCGGCTTCTCAGCATCTGCTGGGTCTGTGTGATTTCCGTTTGGTCGATTCTCATTTGTAAGAATGTAGAAACACACCTCAACGCGGGGACACATAAATTGGACAGACTGGAAGAAAATTCAGAGATAGATTCAAAGAGCATCTAAGACTTTTCAGAAACGGAAAATCAAATTAAGCCACACATTTATTCATCACAACCACGAACCACAATGGAAAAAAGCATGCCGACTGGGGACGCCACCTTTGAACCTGGGGGGGGGGTGACATTTAGGAAAAGAGATAGGGATAGGGTTAAAAGAGGTGGCCGCAAAGCCTTCTGCACCTTGACCTGAGAAGATCTATTGTACTCCTCTATTTTTATAATTCACCGGCCAGCTTCAGGTTGTTAATCAACCTCTATTTCGTTGCCATCTGTTCCTTATGTAGAATCTTGCTTGCGGCTTTTCCTCTTCTCGTTGCAAGAATCACCAGCAAAGATCTTCACAAAAACATAAAACGTATTCTGCGGTATATTCTTCTTCCTGGCAGTGTTTCTTCTGTCTGTACTCCTATCCGGTAAATGCGTCTTCTTAGGCAGCAGAACCTTGTTAGAAGTCCAACTAGAATCTTGGTCCTGTTAAGGTTACCTTCCAGTAATTCCTTTGAAAGTCGTCGCCCTTCTATGAATTTCTTCGCGTGCTTCATGCCTCGGACATTTTATGGATGTGTCCTTTTTTGTGGCAAGATTCTAGGCCATAGTAGGGTTCGCAGCCTAGAAACTTCATATTAACATCTTTTTTGGCCAACATGTTCACTACTCATTGTCTCAGTGTCCCGAACATCCAGGGACCCGTGCCATGGTCAGATCCTTGGTGTCACTTCTGCCAGTGCTTCCATACAATTCCATACACTTTTTGCCTTTCGCTATGGGCTCAAGTGCTGCCTGACTGTCGGAGAAAATAGGTAGAATATGTACCTAGTAGAATCATAGAAAGAATTGCTATGATTTCAAAATGGAAAGCTGTAGCGTATTTACCTAAGTTTTTAATGTCAGTTCGGTCTTTGCAGTCATGCCGAGGACAGCTCCCGTGCCTCTATCCGTTTTTGTGCCATAAAAGTACTTACATATACATATAATTGTATCAGTACAGCTTTTTTAAACTGTTGAGATACTTTTTAACTAATAAAAAATATTTTCAAACAAAAAATTCACGAACAAGCCAAAGAAGAATACGTTAAATATTGTCAATTATTAAATATACAAGTAAATATTGACAGAAATGAATATATATATATATATATATATAAGTAGAATTATCTCAGAGTACGATTTTATTTGCAAATTTGAAATACCTCTACGGTTGTACATTGTACTCCGCCTCAAAAATAGTAACACGTGACCCAAACAAATTTATGCTAGGCAGTAAAACATTAAAAAACCTCAAGCCAATTTTTGATAAGGGCTACTTTGTTTGCCAAATTTTGATTACATTAAATAAGAACTCTTATCACTCAATTGTGCCCATTAAGAGTTTTATTATTTACTGTGGCGATATGGATTATTTAAATACTTCGAAAAATAACAGCCAAAACGAGACAATTTACGTGCAACAACAATACAACGACTGAAAAGTTCAACCCTGTCAATCCTCAATTTATGCTAGGCAGTAAAACATTAAAAAACCTCAAGCCAATTTTTGAAAAGGGCTACTTAGTTTGCCAAATTTTGATTACATTAAATAAGAACTCTTATCACTCAATTGTGCCCATTAAGAATTTTATTATTTACTGTGGCGATATGGATTATTTAAATACTTCGAAAAATAACAGCCAAAACGAGTCAATTTACGTGCAACAACAATACAACGATTGAAAAGTTCAACCCTGTCAATCCTCGAATATGCCTTGTTATTTATATGCATTACAAATACTGGCATAATAAAAAATAAAAAAATACTGAAATCGATTCCACGCGGGATTTTTTTCACGCACTCCTGTGACATATTTTTAATCTTAGGTAACAGAGTTTTTTGAAAGAGGTGTAATACAAGCTGATAAAACGTATTCGTGGATATTTTAGATTACCTAGATTGTTCAATTTGAGGTATGTTTTGCATACTTAAGAGAAAAAATTAGACTTGCAAACACTTTCTCTTTAACGACCCTTCCAATAGGGCCCTCTGGAGGAAATAAAATTAAATAAATCTTCTCATGGAAGGATAAACGTCGATTATAGAAAAAAATGAACGTTTTTTATCATAGAAATTCTTAGGTTTAGAAAGGATGTCGACAGGCGAGAACAAGGTGAGGTGGTGTCCCCTTACTAAACTGACACGGAGAGCTTCTTGTGAAATCGCATCTCAACGAGACCGGTATCCTTGGGAGTTTTCCTCTGGAGAAACTGATAATCAACACCACAAAGAATTCGCAATTTAAGAATTTGTTTTCCTATTAAAAAAACTCAATGTCTAATCGTGTCGGGTTAATAAAAAATATATAAAATAAAGATTTAAAAAAGTGCGTCGAAGTGAAGCCAAAGGCCTATTTCCACTGCTTCTTCTAATCCGGAGTCGAGGGCGTGGAAGAAACCTAAGACGAATTGCCCCTTGGTTGAAATATCAGCAAAGAGAATTCATAAGACGTGCTTTCTCTCTTGCTCATCCCTCGCCGGAAGGCCAAGGATAACCTCTGGTGAAAGCCAGCAATTTTTTTTTCAAATGAAATATTTCATTACTCAAGACTTTTACTTCCAGTTTTGACAGAATACGATTATCTAATGCGTTACGAGTTAAGTTCGTGTAAAGAACTTATTTTACATCATTGGACCCTTCTTTTATATTTTCACCGCCGACAAATCTACCCGACCAGACATACAATATTGGCGACCTATGCCTTCTTCCTAAGCACTTATTAAAACGACCTTGAACTCACATTCACTTTAACCGCATCTGTAAGGTCATGGTAGAAAACATGTCACAAAACGAAAATAAATGCAGCCAGGTGGCATATCTTTAAAACATCTTTATCCGTCTAAAACCCTCAATACTGTGACTATTCCCGTATCCACGCAGAACTTGGGATTCGATCTCTACAGAAAACTCAACTGGGATCGACACACTAAACTGGGATGACCATTGAATTGAGCTCCTCACGCCTTCGCGCCTCAGCGTCAGATTTGAACCAGATAGACGCCTTCGCCACTGGTGTTCCTCCTAATATTTACGAATTTCACCTCTACACTAGGAATTCCTCTATCCTCTTTCAATCTCTAGGTTAGCAGTTTTAAAAGCAATTCCAAAGTTGAGCTTTGGGATTTCACTTTTAACTTACTAACCAGCCTACGCGCTCTTTACGCCCAATAATTCCGAATAACGCTAGCCCTCTCCGTATTACCGCGGCTGCTGGCACGGAGTTAGCCAGGACTTCTTCTGTGAGTACCGTCACTATCTTCCTCACCGAAAGAGCTTTACAACCCAAAGGCCTTCTTCACTCATGCGGTATGGCTGGATCAGGCTTTCGCCCATTGTCCAATATTCCCCACTGCTGCCTCCCGTAGGAGTCTGGAGTAGCAAACAGACGAATAGAACTTGAACGCAGATTACTAGGACAACAAAGTAATTTCACACTGACACACATTACCATTTGCTAGGCCATTATCAGCCCGCATAGCTCGTAACGGACTCTAGCGTACTACCATGACAATGATGATGATGAAAGTTAATTAGGAATTTAGGGGTTATGTTCCCGAGGCACCGCAGCCTGTTCCTAGATCCCTAGTTCAGTGCAATAGAATCAATCCTTCTTCTCAGTAATGGTCATTGACTGTAGCTGCTACAATTTCATTCCTTTGGTTTTTTTTCTGTGTGCTAGGTTAAATCTCCATTGAGCCGTTGCTTCGCATCCGAAGATGATATGGGTGGCTTTTCTTCCTCCTCATTGCATAATCTTCAAATAGTATCATTAATGAATATGCCCATGCTGTGTATATGTTTTCTCAGATACCAGTGACTGCTAATAGTCTATAGCTCCTCTGAGTTTAGCCCTTTATGATTGTAGCAGTTAGGGTTGTTTTAGCATAAGTTTACAGTGTCTAACGCCCCTAAAGTTTATACACTTCTCCTTTTATCTTTCTTGATCCATTTTGTGATGGAGGATTCTGCGTTTGTTTTTGTTATCCCAAGTATACGTTCAGTGTGTATATATGGTCTTGCAGATCCTCCTCAGGCCGCTGTGTCTGCTTTTTCCTTACCCAAAATTCCTTAGTGTACTGGCACCCAGGATATCATCAGGTTGTTGTGTTTCTCCAGGTTTTGGATGCTTTCACTAACTGATTTTGGTGTGATTTTTTACATTGTAATGCTTTAATAGCTGCTTGGCTCTCAGATCTTATGAGGATTTTTGATAGTGTAACCTCTTTTAAGATTTTCTAGAGATGGAATGTATTTCTGCTTGAAAGACCGAAGTGTACTTCCCTATCAGTTTGATTGGTCATATCTTGGGCTTGAACAGAAAACACCCGATCTGGTTCTTCGTTTGTTATATAGCCATCTATATACCATATCATTGTATCTGATGCTCTCCTGAGTTCTTCCTCCCCTTTATACTCCGGAAGTCACCAACGATCCTGGCTGTGAGCGGCCTTATATGTATAAAATCCGTCGCCAATTAGTGGCATACAAAGCACAACCTTTTGTGACAACACATCTTCAATGTATCGAGCAGCTGTTAGGGAACCCTCTATAAAGATCAAGTGCTACCTTCCATCGAATTGCCACCCAAACTGCTCCATAGATTCTCCGGATATATCGCTCTCCTGTTCTTCTCCAATCGTTCTTTCGGCCTTCAGAAGACCTCGAACAAAACCTTGACTGATCCGAAAACAGGAATTTGGTCCAATCTCCCTCAGACCAATTGATGTGATTTCTTGCGTGCTATATCAGAAGATCCAGTGGCAGGGTTGTTCGCACGTAATCCAGCTACTGAAAGTGTTCGCCTTACAGTGCGTATACTGACATCTATAACTTGTTGAAGTCGTTGCTTGATCTCAACAGCGTTAGGATGTGGATTACGGATTACATTCGAAACAACGATCCTCATTCTGAGATGTGACACGCTAATGCTTTAATAGTTGGTTACCTATCCCGATTATTATGAGGACGTTTTTGCCAGCGTAACCTCTTTTAAGATTTCTTTGGGCACAAGCATTGATGGCATGTATTTCCGCTTGAAAGACCGAAGTGTACTTCCCTAATGAGTTTGATTGCTCACATCTTAGGCTTGTACAGAAAACGCCCAATCCGGTACCTTCGTTTGTTTAGAGGCCATCTGTATTCCGTATCATTGTATCTGACGGTCTCCTGAGTTTTCCTCTCCTAAAGGATGATAATCTGTTCAGACTTTATAGGATGTTGTAAGCCCTGTGATGCATAGGTTTGCTAATCTTTGTATGTCCACCAGATCAATGATCCAAAGGTTATTTGGATTTTACTACTGTCGAGTTTAGCCAGTGGGCCATTTTCTATTTTAATCCCCAAGATTTGCGTACTACTTGTGGTCATTAGCGATATTTGGTCTTTTGTTACGATTTGCAGCAGGTGAGGAGGGTTCCAGGTTAACTTTTTATCAAAGATTATTCCTAGGCATTTAACTTAATTTTTTTAGCTGCACCATTTCATTACAGAAGCATAGGCATTGTATTTCTATTTTTCTTTTCCGGGTTAAATCAATTAGAGTAGTTTTTGGGCATGTGATTTAAGTCCCAGTTTTTCCACGACGTTTAATACACTTTGGGTGAGCTCTTTTAATGCGGGGCCGAATTTTCCCCTGACTAGTTATCTGCATAGCCTTGGGTATAGATTCCGTTTTCATTAGTTTTCATATGAGGTCATCCACTAGCACATTCCACAACAGAAGCGAGAGTATTCCTCCTTACGGACAGCCTCTCGTTACCACTGCTTCTTTATGGCCTGCACTTTTCTGCTTTTTAGCATTGATCCTATTCATCTGTAGCAGGTTTTATCAGTTCCTCGCTGATTCAGTGATCTAATCATTGCTTCAAAAGGAGTGTTATCAAATGGTTCTTCAACGTCCGAGAAAGTTCCTAATACTTTTCTTGATTTGTTCAGTGAATCCTCTATTTGTATCATTATTTGAAAGTATTATTGAAATAATATTTTGTTTTTAGATTTTGTCCTTTAACACTTGGAGGCGTATGAAGTACTTTTATCCCACCTAAAAACAACATTTTTTTAAATTATTTTATTGGTACCCTATCTAAAAGATTTGTTCATATTGCAAATGTAATCACAAAACGTTTTTCACCGAGAGGTAGATTTGAAACTTTTGGAATCTGGAACGGATCAGTTCGTTGACAAAAAGAATGCTGAGGACGTTGACACGGCGCTCATCACTGTAAGGTAAAGGTCCCGGGTTCGAATCCAGCGGCCCTGCAATCGAAACCAACATACTTACAAAAGGGCTTTTTTTTAAACACCGGCACCCTGAGGGTTGATATGACCTCTGCTGTTGAGTTTAAAATTTAAAAAAAAAAAATGCTGAGGTTGTTGTGGATAGTGAGGTGAGTGATGCGTAACGAGCATTGACGATTTGTTGTAAGATTTGTGATTGGAAGGCTTGGATGCGCTGGTTGTTGGAAATTTTGGAGGAATCCCATAGTTCCACTCTGTATATCCAAAGAGGTCCCAGTTTTCGGTTCTAAAAGTCTTCGTAGTTGTCCAAGTCTTCTGCTGAGTTGGGTGTGAGGATTTCACGACAGTTTGCTATCTAGGTATAGTCCAAAGAATTTGACTTGAATGATCTCTTTGATGTTGGCAAATTCTACCTATTGAATTTTGAGTTTTTCCGATGATTTAATCCCAATTACCGTTCGGCAAATATTATTAATTAAAATAATTATCCAAAGGATTAGGCAATAGTTGCATAGGCCATAATCGAACATATTCCAAGCCCTGTCGAAAGCGCTTGTGGAGTTAAGTAAAAGAAGGCTTAAGGCGCGTGACCTAAGTGGTCAAACATCTTCCGTTCCCTGGAGCAATCCGTATTTACATAACTGAACTCCGAATGAGGTTAACCAATTTGTTTTTAAATTCTTTAGGCCCCTTTTCATTCTAGCTTATGAGTGGAAACGCTTTAATACGGAGCTGTTATGTCCAATATATTCTCACCTTATAGCAGCCTGGCTTTAGGCCCAGACAGATGGACACCAGACACTTCTAATTTATTTTCTATAATATTTTGTTAATTCTTCTTTGTTTTTGTTACAGATCTGAAGACAACGCCAGTGCGAAAGAATGAGGTAATTGTTCTAAAAAATTTCTATTTTTAAGTATCAATTAGTCAATCAATAAACATATTACTGTCAATTTAAACTCGCCCTACAGTAAAAAAATGAGATCTATGCATCTAAGCCAAATAAAATCTTTATAAAACTGTAACATCAATAATCAATAATAAAATTTATATCCGATTAGATATATAATAGATTTTGTAGTATAAAATGTGATTTTGGTTAAAATGTGGATTTTGATGTGATGTGAATTTGGGGGATTTTTGAAGTGGATAATGCCTACTTTGAAACTGAGGAATCTATTTGATTGATTGATTGATTGGACAGTAATGCTAATTTTCAGCTAATATTTGCTATTCGAACCCTTAAAATTCCTCTTCTAACTTTGAACGCAAGACACTTTAACACCAACCGAAAGTGTCATCGAATAATTTTGCATTGAGCCAATCAAAAGGTAAAATTCACTAAAACTGAAGGTCTATATGAAATAAAATACTGACAAACCAGCCTTTTTTTCTCCGAGAAAGAGATGCAGAGTCGGCGTAGGTCCTCCAGCTTTTCACAAGCGTCTATTGTTTTTGTATATAACCTAAAGGTTGATATGCCAATTGCAAAAACTATGAGCCCAAACTGGCTGTGGGTGTGTTAAAAGGTTAAATCAAAAACCGGATATTCGAGTCTTACAGAACACACCACTAATGATTTGTTTATAAAAAAAAAACTTTAAACAAAACAATGTGCAATAGGTCAATAAAAACCCGAATTGGATTTTTTTAAAGACCTCAAAAGAATCCAGAATATTTTTAAATATTATGTATAGCGAACTTGAAAAAATCAATAAAAAAACATACCTAACAGTAAATCAATGGGATTCAATGATGGTCAATGTCTTGTGTTTGAAGGGTATTTAATCACAGAAAATAGAAAACAACCCTAATTCAATAAACGAAAAACCATGTTTTAAAACAACCAAACCTAATTTAAAAATTATCTGTACCGAATTTTAAAAGGTCAATGTCAATGAGGATTTTTAAAAGATTTCATTGAGATTTTTTATGCGATCGAACGGAATTCCATTAAGGATGGACCAATTTCGGTTATGAGACGAGGGATTTTCATGCAAAACACATATCTGCTGGTGACATATTTGAAAATAACTCGCGTTCTACATGTTTCAAAGCCATTGAAAAGGTGCGTAGATCCCCTTGAGCCATGGATAAAGGTCAAGACTGAGTGAGAGGTCGAAATCGAGTCGCTGAATGACCCCGACTGCGGTCCATTGTCAGAATAGCTTACTCCAGGATGTGGATCACCGTTTTAACAAGGACGAAAAAATTTACGTATCAATAAATTTCTCAAATGAAAAAAAAATCTTAAGATTGAACTGGTCATTCATCAATGAATACAAAACTAAAGATATTATTGTTCTAAAATTCTTAGAAAAGTGCAAGGAAGACAAGATTTTTTAAATGTTTTATATTATGTTACAATCTAGACGATTTTTACTTTTTTGACGGTTTTCAATCATCAAATTAATTCTTTTAAAATTTTCATTTCAGATAATTCATTAGATAATTAATTTTAATTGTATTTACAGTACTTAGCACCTCGCAGTGTTTCATCATTGTTGAAATTCAAAATAACTATTAGAGTTTTTAAATTAACTCAAAAGCAAGTAAACGATGTCCGTTACACCAACTCAGCTTCCGGTAATAAAGTTTCACCCCTTAATCGAAATAATTTCTATGCTAACAATTTAAAATTCAGAAAATTACAAAATATTACAAACCACCCACTGTAATTACGCGAGCTGAGCGATTCTTTACCAATGTTAAATATCAATATTTTATTTCGATATCGAATCCCTAACTGCAAATCTTCGGGAATACACAAAACCCCCGCATCCTAGATTTCCCTTCATCACCCACTGTAATTTGAAAATAAGCCCAAGCGTGACGTCAAATTTAATCACCTGATTCGATTGATTCAACATGGCAAATTTTGGAAAAAGTGCGACCAAGTGATGTCTAAAAGAATTTCACCGAAAAACAACAAGACTAAAGTATTAACGATAACATCAAAACTGAGAAAATATTCATAATAAATGAATTCATATTTCTTATATCATGCATATCAATACAAATATTCACGAAATTATGAATGAAGCACACCAATGCATTATAATGCAGTAACTTTTTTGCAATTCCTTCACTACAGTGATAAAAAAGCAAATGTCACATGATCTTTTTTTAAGAGCTTTGCTAATTATCAAAAAATTCAGTTTACGAATGATTTTATGATAGACATGGTAATAAACTGGCATTTCTTGTTTAATCCCATCCACAAGTTGCATGCGCTGAGAAACTCGTGTAATCTCACCCCAAACTTTATATTCCATATTTGATCAATAAACTGTCAAACTATAAATAATAATCAATATAAAACGATATTGATAGTAAAACTGACCAGACCTAGAGATGGCACCTAGAGTGGCATAATTGTTTAATTTTTAATTATTCCCGGCTTAACGATATACATAAAATAAACCGATTTTCCGACTATAAATAACGGAATACTCACTTTTTTCCGTGATCTCGAAGAAATAGTTGAAAATATCCGACTGCCGACTGAAGAAGACGGGTTGTTTTTTTCAGTGTTCCGCGTGTAAACAAAAAGGAGGCTCCGCGTGGAAAACCAGCTGGGCCATAGACAACCAATCGCCGCCCGGTCTTAAAGTGGCCCGATCAGGTCTGGCGTCACATTCCGAGTCGTTGGTTAAGTGGCCGTTGCAAATAACAATTTTACGCGATGGAACAATTTTCATTCCATCGATGAACAGCTACCAACAATTTATAACAACAAAATATCAAAAAAAGAAATTATTATTTATAGAAAATAGAACCTGATTTTTAGCCAGCAGGCCTATCGACCTTACAGATATTTACTTATCGCGCTTTTTAACTTTCTGTATTCAAAGATCTTACTATAAATCATTTAATTTATTACAGTGCAGGAATTAGATGTCGGCAGAGTAGCTCTCGGGGAGCACTGTCCATAGGCGGCCGTCGGACTATCTGACTCGTAATATATAAATTCGTGAAATATAGAATCCTTCATCGCAGAATGGATCCAAGCAAAACAAAAGGATAAGTGGATAAACTTTAACGGTGCTAGACGTAGTAAACTTATGATGAAACAACCCTCACCGGGACTCGCAAAAACACTGCTGCAATTGGAGAGGGCCAAACTCAGAGAAGTGGTAGGACTACTAACCGGTCACTGGTATCTGAGAAAACATCTACACAACATGGGTATATACAGCGATGATCCCATTTGCAGATTATGCAATGAGAAGGAGGAAACACCACCCATATCATCTTCGAATGCGAAGCAACAGCTCAATGGAGGTTTAACCTAACGTACTGAAAAGACTTAGGGAATCAAATTGCAGCAGCAACAGTCAATGGCCTGATACTTCTAAGAAGAAGGATTGAGTCTATTGACTGAACTAAGGAAATAGGAAGGTACAATAAGCCAGAATGCTGCAGTGCCTGAGCAATACAAAGTATCCTTTTCCGCTTCCTAATATCCTTTTCCACCATACCATATCTTACCATCTGACTCGTAGAAGAGGGGTCATACTCATCAGATTGAGAATACCATGCCTCTTACTTTTGGGCTACGGTCTATTCCTCAGAAACGTTCACCTACCCTGATATGCAGATGGATCACTCGCTGAAGTCAGTTGATTCCCAACTAACCGGGTTCAACTCCAACCTGAGCTTTCGACAGCTATGCCATTTTAGCCTCCAATGCTAACTATAATCTAGCCTAAAACTAACTAACATTTAAAATATAGTTACATGAATAAATATTTCACACCTATGTACATTGCAGTCATTCTGATTAGTCGGTGGATTATTCAATATTTATCCATCGACCTATAAACAATATAATAACATAATCTAAATTTGGGTCGATGGTGTATTTTTATAAATATTCAGCAATCGACCCTAAACTACACACACATACTGCTGGAGGGGCAATGGTGACCTTATATTACACCATCAGCCCCACACCATTCACACTAATAAAAACACTCTCTCAAATTAAACACATAACAAATCAGAAAAAGAAATCTATGTATAATTAAAAAACATCACGTCCTCCAAAAAGCGGAACAGGGGACCCATAAACTCGAAAAATTTTCTTAAATTCCGTGGGTTGCCTACACGCTCTTTGTAAAGAGCGAAGGCATGACAGGCCTCGACTACGTGGAACACATCGAGCAATCTGCATAAGGTGTGCTTCGAAATTCCCTTTTAACAAATATAATTTCGAAAAATCGAAATTCCTTGTGTTCAGCATCTAGTTTAAATAGAAATTTTCAAATAAGGTCAAAGAATCTCCGTTTCGTATGAGGCTTCGCTGAAGACATGATTTATTAAGCTAATTTTTGCTAGGCTAAACCTGCAATTGTGGAATTCCATCAAAAGTTTTATAACTCTATTTAATAGAGTTATATTAAAGTCGAGTTAATAGAGTCGCCTGATAAGATATTTATTATATATAATTCATGAGAAAAATCATGATATGAACTATAAAAGTGTGTTGATAGGCAGAACTCATTGTATATGTCAAATCCTTAAATTTTGTAAATATGTAAATATTAAATCAGACATGATGATCACCAAGGATAAGTAGTAACAATAAGTAGACCTATGAACATTTTAAAACGGAAACGTAGCTGTTAAATATAAGACGGTCCACTTGTTAGAGTCGATTTGACTCGCCGTCGCAATGGATGAACGTGGTAGCACCAAAAAAAATCGAGGGCGTCGGTGGTTGAGAAGCAACAGACCGATCCGCATTCGCATATAAATTCATATCCAAGATTACGTCGGAACTTTCCATCCTGCGTAGAGTGAAACAAAGTTAATTACCTGCATCATAATGTACCAAGATCATGATCGCAGCATGCTTAGCCTAATTCGGACCATTTTTTTACAACCGTTATGGACGTTTTGCAAAATTTCCTTCGAACATGCTGCTATTAAAATGTTAGGTGGAACGCGCAAAATACTCTTCACGGTGCATAAGGAGATGTACTATGGGAAAACTCTGGATTAATCTTATCCGTGCACATGCTTTAAGAAACGTGTAATTTGTTTATATCAGCTTAAATCAATGGGTCTTGACCTAAAACCGGCTCCTTAATGTTATGAAGTCTTGTTTTCTTTACAGACAGTTGAGCACTTAATTAATATTGTTTTGTCACAGACGATTTTAACCTTAATCAATGATTCCGTGTGTCGGAAATCTGACCTAGAAATCAGGTCACGATATCTAATAGGTTTTTTTTGTTGAAAAGGTAAGGTCGTAGAGAAATTTCGACCCTGAAATGTCCGCATGTGCATAGAAACGTTCTACTTTACTATTTGAAGCGGCTTGCCACCTTTGTCGCAGAATAACGGTGGCCCATTCAGCAGATTCTTCCGTGGGATCTGGGTTACACGACCGAGGAAAAACGACAGTGAGCGACGTAAAAATCTCGGATAGAACTTAGATATGGCTTGGAACGAGCAAAATTCCCGAATTCCGTGACAGCTTTTAACGCAAATTGTAAATTCCTACTGACCTCAGTGGAATTTATGAGAACAGGTGTAATGGAGACTGCTAACTCGTTCCCGTCACCCTATAAAGGATCGGCCAGCCTATACACAAATCGAACCCAACACAACTCGCAATTAACAAGGGTAGCAAAAAAGCAAATTTAATATATTTAACTTAGAAACATTTTTGTCCAAAATTTCATCGTTTTTCTCCAGTACAACCACTCATATTTCACTGTTTCGTTCTCCCAAGTGACTTCATAAAATCAACACAATTATTGTTTAAAACGATTTAATCCAGTGCAGCCAAAATTATAAGTTTTACTCAACAACACGCGTATGCAAAATAATAACGTTTTTCCGTGCATTAATAAAAAAATGTTGTTTCTCACAATTAAAATACATTGAGGAAAAACATTAAGCTTTTTTAATTAACTCTATTAAATCCTGAACTTCCGTTCGCCTCGCTCTTAAGAATAAGTTTATTTCACCTTCATAATTTATCGACGTTTTAATTAAATAATCACAATGGTGCTTTGACGGGGTTAAATACGAATCTTTACGTTTTAGCAAAGTACATCTTTAAGATTGGGAAAGTGGTACGGCAGGGCTGTTTACCCGCACCCTACCTACTCAACCTGTACAGAACACTTTATGCGACCTGCTGGGCTTTAGGAATCCAATACTGGTGTTAAAATCCCTTGAAGAAACATAGCCATCATATGCAGATGATACCACTTTGATTGCTGGCGAAGGGGAGTTAGGGAAACATATGACGATGGTGAAGGAATCAAGTGGAAAAGTTGGAAACAAGATTGTGGGAGGGGCCGATGGCCAAGTAGCTTCTCCATCTCCTCTCAGGTTGTGTATGACTTGGGCCGATGGCGGAAAATTTAAAAAATACCCCATTGACCACAAATTAGAGTAGTCTATTATAGGGAAAAGGTAGATGGAGGAATATCGAGTACTCCATCTACCAAACAGTATTAATGTGATCAATGTATGTTGGTGTGAATGTATTTATTGGTGTGAATGGAGAGGGGCTGATGGTGACATATCATCTCGATCGCCCCTCATGTTGCGTGACTGACTTGGGTCTACGGCGGAAAACTTTTAAAGTGCCCCAGTACCCCATCAACCCCAAATTAGAGTAGTCTATTATAGGGAACACGTAGATGGAGGAATATCGAGTACTCCATCTACCAAACAGTATGAGTGCGATCAATGTAAATAGGTATGAATGTATTTATTGGTGTCATCGTGTGTGTGTGTGTGTGTGTGTGTGTGTGTGTGTGTGTGTGTGTGTCCGTCCAAACTCCAGGGCAACCAGTCTGCTCATTTCAGGGAATGTTAAAGGCAAAACTGAAATACTTTGGCCACGAAATGAAAAGGCAGTATACTCTGGAGAAGAAGCTGACGTTAGGGAAAGTGGAAGACAAAAAAAAGATTGCCGACCAAGGGTAAACTGGGTATATTCTAGGGTTGACGATCTCAACCATGGAGAAATGGGGATAGTGACAGCCGACAGGAAACTCTAGTCAATCTGCAACCAGCGTGGACTGGTTCATGTAGTCACGAAGAGACGGAACCGACTGAACGAATAAAGAATTACACGTTTTAGAAAAGCAAAATTACCAAATCTTACAATTAATAAGGTTTTTTTTTAGTTGAGATAAAAAAGTCAATGGCACGAGCGGGATTCGAACCCACGATCTTCGGCTAGATACGCCGCTGTTCTACCACCTGAGGAGGGAAAATTACCAAATCTATTGATAAATATTCGCATATATCAAAGATTGTCGCTAGTTGATGCCATTTTCATTAAAAGGCTAGTTGAAGTATTCATTTTTCAAATTCCAAACGTAAAATGATCCTTAAACGCCATGTTTTGTTCAAAAACGGCGAGATGATGTTGAAGATCATTTTGGTTCTGTTGAGAATTTTCTTGTCGTTTTTGATCATCATATTACTTCCAAGAGCTCCCATTTTGACTTCTCTGTCAATAAAATAATTTAAAACTAATACGTAACAGAAGATAAAATTGTTGGT